TTCTGTCCACATCCCCTCCAGCATCTGTTGTTATTAGAGTTCTTGATTTTTGCCGTTCTATCTGGGGTGAGGTGATATCTCAATGTTGTTTTGATTTGCATTTCTTTTATGGCTAGGGATGTTGAACATTTGAGAAGAGAGTCTTTTGGACTCTTCTGCCTCAGCTGGCTTTGAACCAAGATCCTCAGATCTCAGCCTCCTGTGTAGGTAGGATTGCAGGTGTGAGCCACCAGCACCTGGTTTGAGTTGTACAATTGAAATAGTTGAATTATATATAGTTTGAATCAGTGCAGCCTTTTTTGTTTTATGGGGGAGAGAGAGAGGCAGGAGGGAGGCCTGCAGGCCGGGAATGAGGAGCGTGGAGCACTACCCCAAGATGCAGGGGTCTCCAAAGCACCAACAGGAGGATAGCGGACAGATAACTGCACAAACTCTCATGGAAGCAAAGGTCATTCACCCGCCAGGCCAGAAGAGTAAGACAGCCAAGCATGGGAGCACACAGATGCAACCCTAACGCTTCAAGAGGCAGAGATCAGGACTGAGTTCAAGCCATAGAACCCCCCAAAATGCTAAGGAGGGAAGGAGAGAAAGAAAGGAAGGAAGGCAAGCAGGCAGGCAGGCAAGATACTAAAGGTAGACCTGGATTAGCCTGAGCTTAGGCCCAACTAGCACCCTGGCTGGGAAGCATATCCCAGCCTGGCCAGGCTCTTGAGGACCAGGAGAGAGCACGGGAGCTGGAGCAGCTGCACAAACAGAGCCCGGAGCCATGTGGCCCATGCCGGGTCACAGTCCTGCATGGAGCTGGGGGAGTGGAGAAAGCCGAGAGCGCCCCAGACTTCCACCTGCAATGAATAATTTTTGCACCTCTTTTCCCCCAGGCAGTGCCATGGCAGGCCAAGGAGAGAAATCCCCAGAGCTGTGGGAGGAAAAAATGCCTTTTAACATGCAGACTTTTCCAGGCAAAAATGCATCTGATGCCTTTCCATTTTGCATCCTGGGCCACGCCTCCGTACAGTGAGGACACTGTGTGCCTAGTATTCCAGAAAGATGCAACTGTAATTCCGTGAGTTCTCCAAGCGCATTCCTCTCCACCCACTCTGCACAGGAAATCACATGGCATAGATCACATGAACCATGAACTCCCGTGTGTACTGCCCAAAACGCCTAGATCGAGGAGCAAGCAAGGACCATAGCTGACCACATCAGATCTAGACTGTGTCTCTTGCCTGGGATCTTTTGTTCAACACTTAGCCCCCCTGGAACCTTCATTTCCTCATCTATAAAAGGGAAGAAAGCGCCAGGCCTGTCATCCCAGCTTCTGGGGAGGTGGAGAGCAGAAGGATCACAGTGCAAGGCCACAGCCTAAGGAAGAAGTCCGCAAGTCTCATCTCCACCAAGAAGCTAGAAATGGTGGTACATGCCTGTGACCTAGCTATGCAGGAGGTGTGACTAGGAGACTCACGGTCCGGGCTGGCCTGGGCAAAAATAGCTTTAGTTTTCTGTGTGTGTGTGTGTGTTGTTTTTAACTCCTTATGGAAAAAAAAAAAAAAAACATAAAATAGCCCCACTTTCCCCGGGTCCTGGCTTGAATGGCACTTCCTACGTATAAGACGCCATTTCCCTTACCATGACGGCTAGCTACTATGATGGCTAAGTGCTTGGTTCTGTCAGGCGCCGTTACCTTTCAAGCAGCTGCTAGCCAGGAAGGGCCCCACCCAGCCAATGCTGTGCCCCCTAATTCTGAGTCACCAGAAAATAATTTGGGGGGAGGAGGGAGGTGGAGGCAAGAGAAGAGGGGAAAAAAAAAGTAGGAGTTAGATGCCTTGTTACATTAAGCCCGGCCCCAGGCTTTACAAAGGGTTACAACACAGCTCACCACCTGCACCCCATGTCAGCAGACAGGTCCAACGGGATTTTTGAAGATAAAGTGGGGAGTTCCGGGCTGGTGTGGGAACCCCTCCAGAATAAACCCGGGTCCCGGAGGGCAGCTCGCACACTTAGAGACTGGAGCCACATCAGTCTCCGCTCTACTGGATCTTCCACCTACTCCAGTCCTTCCTAGCACGTGTCCGGAAATGCTCAGGATCCGCTCCAAACAGTAGAGAGCATGCGCCTTTAAAAATGTCAAGTGCTGCCGGGTGCGAGTGGCTCGAGCCGAGCCTGGAATCTTACCTACTCCAGAGGCTGAGATCTGAGGATCTCAGTTTGAAGCCGGCCCGGGCAGCAAAGTCTGTGAAACTCTTATCTACAGTTAACCAGCAAAAACAGCCAGAAGTGGAGCTATGGCTCAAGCGGTAGAGGGCTAGCCTTGAGTAAAAGCAGCTCAGGGTCAGCTCCAGGCCCTCAGTTCAAGCCCTAGGACCAGCAAAAACAAAACAAAACGTCAAGTCCTTAGAGAAGGGACTCTCAAGTCTGTGGCCATCCCCAAGGACGCCTCTGTGGTCTCAAACCAGAACGAACTGTCGTGTCGTAAATGACCGACTTTGCCAGTTACTGTGGTTCACACCTATCATCCCGGCTGCTCAGAAGGCTGAGATCTGAGGAGCAAGATTCGAAGCCAGCCTGGGGTAGACAAATCTCTTGGACTCTTGGATCTAATGAAGCACCAAAAAGCCAGATATGGAGCTGTGGTTCAAGTGGTAGAGCACCAGCCTTGAGCAAAGAAGCCAAGAGATAGCACCCAGGCCCTGAGTTCAAGCCCCAGTATTGGCACACACAAAAAAAGAAAACATCCAACTTCTCCTTTGTCCTCTGTCCCCTGGCTACAAGGACCATCTAACCAGGCCAGGAGAAAGAAAAGCACTGTCATCACACCTCCATCTTTCCAGGCAAGAGGCTGGGCCAATACTCTTAGCAAGCTTAGAGGTGGATTAACACACAACAAAGGTGACCTTTGATTCATTTCCTCCTTCAAAGTGGCTGTTTCTGGGGACAGAGCTGGCCCCTCTTTGCAGCCCAGCTTGCATGCTGGGGTCTGCAGCCAGCTCCCCCGACAAGCAGGAAAAACCAGACCCAAACCCAAACTGCCCTGAGCCAACCAACTTCCATCCTTGTAACAACTCCATTGACTCCCAGCTTGGTTTTCTTAAATTAAAAGAAAGCATTTAGGGATATATTTGTTACACAGATCAAGCAACATGACAGGCAAGAGCACCAGTTGTGCTGGGTGCTGGTGGTCACGCCTCTTATCCTAGCTACTCAGGAGTCTAAAATCTGAGGATCGTGGTTCAAAGCCAGCCTGGGCAAGAAAGTCTGTGAGACTCATCTCCAATTAGCTACCAAAAAACCAGAAGTGGAGCTGTGGCTCAAGTGTTAGAACATTAGCCTTGAGCAAAAAGGCCAATGTCCAAAGACCCAAGTTCAAACCCCCAGTACTAGCATGCATACACGCAGATGCACACACACAGCACTAGTCACTATATAAAT